CTGGTTTTCAGAGGTGTGATCTCCTGTTTATTTATCTCGTGTGCCCTATCTACTTGGGTCATCTCCGGATCTCGTACTTTGATGAGATGATTCAGAAGGTGCATGAGCGGATTTCTGGATGGGTGAATCGCTTGCTTTCTTTTGGAGGTAAGCTCACTTTGATTCGTCATGGGATTGCGTTGATGCCTATTCACTTGTTTCACGTGTTGAGGCTTCCTGCGGATATTTTTCACCAATTAGAGAGGATATTCATTTGTTTCTTGTAGGGTGATACAACTACTCATCAGAAGATTCACTGGTGTCACTGGACTGAAGTGTGTTTCCCTGTAGAGGAGGGCGGCTTAGGGGTGCGTTCTTTTTTTGACTTAGCTAAGGCTTGTGAGGTGAAGCTATGACGGAGTTTTCGTACTCAACAGTCATTTTGGTATACTTTTATAAGGGCCAAGTACTGTAGGTCCACCCATCTTAGGCTGATTGAGTTTCGTTACCCAGCTTCACCTATTTGGAGGCGGTTGTGTGGGATTTGATCTGTGGCTGAACCGAGGATTAGATGATTAGTACGGTCTGGTGAGGTCAGTTTCTAGTATGATTGTTGGTTAGGAGATTACCCATTGAATTTAGTATATCCGAGGGCAGCTTTTGGGGTTCCTATTTTTGCTTACTGGGCGGGTCGATAGTGGGACAGAGGCCGATTCTTAGGGGTTTACCTTCTTCAGTTGTTGAGCAAATTGTGTAGATTCGGATTCTGGATCAAGCGGTTGATCAGATGTGGTGGAGGTTGTCTTTGGATGGGGATTTTTCCTTGAGGACTGCTTGGGCTGATATTTCGGGTATGGCTCCAGTTCGGGGCTGGGTTTTCTTGTGTCTGGCATAGGCATATTCTGACTCAGATCTCCTTCTTTATGTGACAGTTGTTTCATGGTTTCCTGGCCACAGATGATGACTTAGAGAGATGAGGTTTTTATGTAGTATCCCGGTGTGTGTGTAGTGGGACTGTTGAGACTCTTAGGCATCTTTTTTTGGATTGTCCACTTGCAGTTCAGGTGTGGGGTCACTTTTATCGGACATTGGGATCAGATGTTGGCCGTTTCAGTCTCTTTATACTTTGATGCTTCATTGGTGGTGTTGTGCTCCTCTGCAGGTCATGTGCGGGTAATGTTACCGTTCTTCATTCTATGGCACTTATGGAAGGCGCGCAATGCTTATAGGCTTGAGATTAGACCTTTCATGTGCCCGTTGTGATTCAGAGGATTATGGACGGTATGTAGTTTGTTGGGCTTGCTTTTGGATTTGCTTCGAATCAGTTGAGTAGGTTGAGTTTGTGGGTTCTCCTAGGGTCTTGGTTCCTCGGCCTCGACATCTTCGCTTGGTTGCTTGGACTCGTCCTATAGCGAGTTGCCTAGAGATCAGCGTTGACAGTTGTTCTAAAGTCAATCCGGGGTTGTCTGCGACAGGGGGTGTTATTCGGAATCACCAGGGTCGGGTAATCAGGGCTTTTGACTTGTTTTTGGGTCATCAGCCTATTCTATATGCGGAGTTGCAGCCTGTTTGTGCTAGGTTACAGTTGGCCGCAGATTTAAGAGCTTCAGAGTTGGTAGTGGAGTCAGATTCAGCTACAGTGGTTTCTTAGGTTTCTTCTCGGGGTACTGGGTGCTCGATTTATGCTTACCTGCTTGCTCGGATTAGGATTCTGTGTGTTTCTCTCTCAGCTCGCGTCTGCCACGTCTTGCGGGAGGCGAATCAGACTGCTAACTTCATGGCTAATTGGGCTTGCTCTCAACAGCTCAATCAGCGATTCTCTGATTCGTCATCCCTTCCTTCTGGGATTGCTGGCATCCTAGTATTAAACGCTCAACAGACTCCTCACGTTCGTCATTGAGTTTTTATTTTCATTGATGTTCTTAGTTATTTTGTTCTATGGGGTTTCCCCACTTTGCTTTTTCTATTTATTTATTTTTCCTGCTTTTGGTGGTGAGTTACCACCTTGCTTTTGTTTTGACTTTCTTCCACTTCTGGAGGCTTGGTTCTATGTCCTCCTCCTTTGTACCTTTTTCCTTTTAGTTATATATACAAGTAAGGGTCCTGACAAACCCCTCACCTACACTGGGTGACTCTGGAAAAAAAAAAAAACTTTTCTAAATTTAAATGAACCTTTTTTTCTGTGACAAAGGTGCTTGAAATTTTAACACTCCACTATCCGTTTCGAGCTTGGAATGCATGATTTTAGAATATTTTGTACGATATAATTACAAAGCTCGTATATAATAAATAAATTTCATTCACATTTTTTGAAAAATGGCCTAATTACAGGGAATGTGGTTTCTAAAATATCACTGTCATCCTCTATAGTATATAGGTCCATTTCACATACTACTACCCTTGTCATTAGGGACATTACTGACACACTCAAACACCCTACACCGATGTATAAGTCTTGTACCCAAACACGTTTATTCTTTTATCAAAAAAAACTAGTCCTAAAACCAAGCAACTCTCACGTCCTATAATTTTATCTTCTTCATATCTCACATATGCACACATGTACATGTACCCATATAGACACGCTTGTCTAATTTGTAAGTTAGGAAAAAAATTGGTTTTCTATGTGATGTATATCGATATTTTTTGGCATTCAATCTATTTAATTCGATCAATACAAGTAGGGTTTCAATCCTGTATCGTCCGATATTCAGATTTTATCATTTTATATTCATGTCGAGTCTTTAATTTTAGACTACCACTAATTCGAGTTGTTTATTAAACATATAGTGTCATGAACAATAAACTTATGACTATAGAATCTCCTTTTTATCTCAACCAAACCACCACCACCACTCTTGAACCATCTATAAAGTAAAAATCCACTCAATGAATTTATCAAAATCAAAGGATTCAGGCAATACAAAGATCAAGAAATATAAAAAGTAAGTTACTTATTGTATATGATATCAGTTATATAGAATGTCGTGTCAAAATCAATTTATTTGTATTTGGCATTACAACTACTCATTTATTATTTATTTTAGTAGGTTGTGTCATTTTTGATTTCTTACCTATTAATTTTTATTTTGAATTTGTATCGTTTTGACACTTATTGCCCCCTATCCGTCATGTTCTAAAGTGACACTTCCATTTATAGAACTTTTGACTTTTCCTTTGCTGCGAACTTCTGATTTCTCACACCATTTTGTTTTTTTGTCTAGTGAAGACTTTAATGGAAACGATATAGAAAGTCATTAATCCACTGCATTTTAATCTCCAAGTTAGCTTGACTTCCTCTTGGTCCCAACATCATTCATACGAAACTGGGCACGACCACGCAATGTATTATCTCATGCTGACCACTACATTTGAAGGTTTATTTTTTTTTTTGATAACCCAAGACCACCCACCAACCGAGTTCATTTAGACTTGTGGCCGGTAGTCAATCTGGGATCACGCACAAAGCCTTCTCTTCATTGACAAAGGTTAAATCTTGGCGAGGTGGATCCAGGGAACCTTTTTTCTGGTAGAGTAGCGAACTCTTGACTAATGCCAACTTAAAATATCCATCAAGTAGCCGACTACCGCTCGAGTTTACCCGTTAGGTTGCATTTGAAGTTTTTTCTCATGACTATGGTAAGAAAATGAAGCATGAAACCGTGTTCATCTGTCATGTCCTTGACCCAATGGCATATGGGAAAAAAGGCAATAAAATCAAAATATTAGTTTAGGTTAACTGATAATGAAATCGATATGAAACCTTATATATGATTAAAGGATCAACAATCAACCATGTTAGAGTAATTTGGATGGCCGAACATAAGTATTCAATACGTCGAGATCCCAAGCTTGAGTTTTGCAAAAGATATTAAGTCAGTTCTGATCGATGAAGGTATTCCAAAGTGGAAAGAGTTGGGAGCCAAGGTAGGAAGAGGGTGGTGGGGGACAAAGGAAGGGTAGGGGTTGCGGTTGTGGGGAGAAGGGCCTAATTATATGAAATTCCAAAAGTACCCCCTACAATCGCTCACACAGTACTCATGCCACGTGATTGGCTCTGTTGTCAATTTGGATTGGAGAGTGACTTCAGGGGTAAAGTTGAACAAAAATAAAGAATTCAACGTCAATGTGAGTGAACTTCAAATCTGGGGGTTAGAGTGAGATTTCTTTAAAATTCTAGAGTACAAAATGTCATTTATCCCTAAGGGTCCGTTTAATTAAAAAGAAAAAAATGATAAAAAATAAAAATAATAGAAAGTGATAGAACTTACTGATCTTAAAATTCACACAAAATTACAAGTTACGGATAAAAAAATTTCACTCTCTCAAAAGTAATACAAAATTCTCCTGTTAATATAGAGGCAGATTGGTAAACCGTATAACAGATAGCAGGTTTCATTGAAAAATAAAAATATTTCTCGCAAATTTTGTGGGAAAATAGAAAGCCCCAATTGCGGGAAAATTTGGTCATGCCAAAAACAATATATTCCCGAGAAAGTGGGATTTCCTGCTAAACAAACACAACAATTTTTTTTTTTTTCTTTTTCTCTCATTTTCCATCGCCCTCTCTTGCTAATCAAACAAAGCCTAAAACAAAAGTAAAAGAAAGAATTTATTAGATTTAAATATCTTCATTACTTTTTAACGTACTTTCACTCAATAATAGATTGCCCACCATGCATGAGTGAAAAATCCACGTATAAATAATGGGTTCCACGTTAATACATGGTGAGTGATATATTATTAAGTGAAATTGTGTAAAAAAATAAAATAATGGACAGGATGTCAATCCGAATTTCGAATTTACTGATGTATAAACACTGATCCAGCAGAAAATAAGCAGCAATTTTCATGATTCAAATACAAATATCAACTTCGAATTATTCAAGATAAATGAACCTCACAGCTCACAGTATATTAACGATGCAATACAATGGTAAACCAACATTGTCCTGCACACCAAGGAAAAAAATAGAGGAGAGAGAAGACACAAAAAAAGGGTATAAATTTGAACAGAGGGTAGTGTAAGAGTGAATACAAACCTTCATAAAGTAATAATTACTAGCACACGAAAGCAATGGCAATTGCCACCAAATTGAGAGTGATAGCTGCAATAACTGTGGGCGCTGCGGAGTTAGGCGGAGGCGGTGCCATGGTGGTTCCAGATGGAGGAGGAGGAGGGGATGACCCAGGTGAAGGGCTGCTATTCGGAGAGCCTGGGCCGGAAGTGACGTTCACTTGTAGCTTTTGACCCAAGGAACAATGGTTGCTAATGGTGCAGATGAAATAATCTTCCCCGGTGGCATCCAAAGTGTAGCTCGCTGGACCGGTGGTTTGGATGGTGAGAGGATTGGTGGTGTTACAGGAGTTGAAGGCATCATTTGTGACTTTTGCTGCAGTGTGGTCTCCAGTGGTGAAGTTGAAGACTGCAATATCAGTGCATGCACGCATGGAGTGATCAATTGTCATAGAATATCCCAAGTAAGAAAGAGTGACCTAGTACACCATACGGGTTTTGGGGAGAGTGAGATATTCCAAGAAAACCAAAGTAACATCAAATGGAAGAAAAACTATTAAATCATGTCCCTAGATTCTAGCTCTTGCATAGACACTAAAGCAAGTCACCTCATATTAAAATTTACTCATCTTCTACCTTATCGAATTTATAAATTCGTAAATTTTTTAATCAATTTAAAGACCACAACTCTCTGATTCAAGTCATCAAACAAACAGTCAAGGACAAACTCATGTCTACTAAATTCAAGTACTCCACCTAGAATTTTAGGATGTTGCATCTATGAGATCTTTCTCTCGGCTGCTTAGTATAGTTCCTCTTGAGGACTGTTTTTGTATAATTTTAGGACTTGAATTCTTGGGAAAATATTGAGTATCATCTATATTTCCCTCTAAATTTTGATCTTTTGAGTATCTTCTATATTTCCTTCTAAATTTTGGTTTTTCTTCTCTATTTTGATGGACAACATTAGTTGTTCTTTGGTTTGCTCATGTATAGCTTCTTTTCAATAAAAACTTTACCTTTCAAGAAATTTATAGATGTGTATACCTAAAGTCGGGTCAACCAATTTATTAAGTGGATATGATGGGTTGACCAATTTATAGATGTGATTATTTTTTAAAAAAAATTTAATTACAAATGCAACTTATATAAATAATGCGTTGACTCACGGCTTACTTTTAATATGATATCGTGTAAAATTATTATTCATAAGCAATACATCATACCGTAATAAAAACATTAGAGAATCGTAGCAATGTCACGAACTAATTTTTATAAAGGTTGGAATTATTATTTTTTTGATTTTATAACCCAAACTAATCTCAGCAATGGTATTGTATGAGTTAAATTTGATAGGTTTAGTATAACTAAAATTTAAACATCAAGGATAACTTGAATAATTTTGTTGACTAAAATTATTAATTATGTTGTTATTTGGCCTGTTTTAAGACAAAATTTTGGTTCCATCCCTATACGTAACTTAGCATCGGTTCTTATTGGATTAGCGGATTGTCTTAAGAATTGCTAAGCCTCGCTGTGACATTGGGGGTGAGTGGTTGGGTTCCAAATGAAAATACTGGAAAAGTGAAGACTCGAGGATATCCAAGCTCGTAATATGATCACCCTCACAATATCATGAATGGTTGCCTAGATAGTGTTGAATCTTGCATGTCCTACAATCTACAGGTGATGGGCAACTTTTTTGTTATTTCTACAAGAATTCCAGGGAAGTTACATATATGGGGAATGATCAAGGACTTAAATATGTTTGGGAAGTCATTAATTAACGGGTAAATCCTCGATCATTAAGCTTAAAGAAAACCCAATTGGGTTTGCAACTTTTTAATGCTCACCATGCTGAATTAAGTGAATTAATAATAGTGAAAGAAATTTATGGGTAAAGACAAGAAACAAAATTTTGGTTTTCAATGCATAGTTTCAGTAAATCCTAAAACAGAATGGCTTCCAAGAGAGAATAGAAATAGAGAAAAAATTTAAAATTTTGACTCTGAAACATCACGTAAGATTTGAATTCAGACCCCAAAACATTTCAAAATATTTTGAAATTGATATCTGGAGACATGCTGGACTTGAGAATCTCAATTTCAATCACCGATCCGTATCAGTTTTCACCGAAACCGAGACGTTTCTGTCATTTCGTCCAAAATGAAACGAAATTTTGATCTTATAAGCTGTGTGTGTGTGTGGTTTTGTGTGTGTGTGTGTAAAGAGGTTACCTAGAATGTCACCAACTGTGAAGGTATATCGGGCTGCCCATGTAGAATAGACCACAGCGCCACCAGGAGGGTCCTGCCAACCCAAGCTGCCTCCAACGGTATATGTTGCAGCTGCTGAAATTCGTAGCACTGCAGCTGCCACCACAACCACAATAAGTATCACTAAATTGTTTCTTGTAGTCATTTCTCAACTTTAGTGTGTGTGTGTTCACTGGGTCAGGTCACCCCTTTCTCTGTGCTTCTGTGTTTTGTTCTTGTGAGAGACCCGAGAATCGCAAGGCCATGAGCTTCTGTTCCATATATAGGGAAAGACCAAGAGTAGTTGAGAACCTTTTGATCTGTGGAAGCCAATTGGACAACCAGCTTTTTTGGGGGTGTAATTTTCTGGTGCTGGTAATAACAATTAGGAATGAGTTCAGCATCAATAAAAGTCAGAGAGAGAGAGAGAGAGAGAGGGAGGGAGAGAATTATCAAGTCAGCATCAGTGAGATCAGCATCTTATTGAATTATCAAGTCCATTTACCAAACCATTTTGTCTATGACTACCCTTATAATAGATTAATCGGCTGAAAGATTACATAATTAAGGCCAAGTCTACAAGTTTGGCTGACAATAGACTACTTCCAAAGTCAAATTTTCATCAAACAAATAAATAAAAGGAAAAATTGGGTGCGGATACATTTCAAAGACTTACTTGAGAGAAAGTTCAATGATAAGATATTAACTCTATTAAGTTCACTTATACATAAAATTTTTGTTATTAAGTACACAATTTAGTTTACTTTTTTTCTATAATACTTAATTATCTTTTCTTAAATAATGCAGAATTGATTGATAGTTTATTTTCTTTTTAAATATGTAAAAATTTGATTTGATTATATCATTTGTTTTAATTTTGAACATTTATTCTTAACTCTCTCTCTCTCCCCCCCCCCATTGATAATTTATTTTCTTTTTAATATGTAAAAATTTAATTTAATTTTTTTATTCGTTTGAATTTTGAACATTTATTCTTAAATCAATTCATAATATATTCTTGAATCGTTGCCTTCAAACTTTGTTATTTCCTATATTATCCAATTGTGGACTTTTTGATTCGGTTCCAAACGTTCTTTCTCCAGGGAGATACACCTAATAACAAGAAATTGCACTGGTTAATCACTGCATACAGTGATTATAAAAAGATACACCTAATAGATGCATCAAAGAGATACACTTAATAGATATACCAAAACGATACATAGTGAAATTTAATGAGAAATACTAAAATGATATACCAAATTAATGCGCAAAATTGATACAAAAAAGTGATATACGAAAGTGATACATCAAACAAATAAACCAAAATAGAAACACTAAAATGATGCCCTTCTTTGATGCACAAAATTGATTCAAGAAAGTGATACACTAAAAAGATACATCAAACAAATATACCAATAAGGTTTATCAAAAAAAATAAAAAAATTATAATTTCAAACAAAAATAATTAAATCAAATATTTATGTATTTGAAAAGAAAAAAATTATCAATGGGAGAGAGAGATAAAAAAAAAATAAGGAGAGAGATAGAGAGAAAATAGGGGAGAGAGAAAATAAGGAGGGATTGTGAAATAATTATTTCAAAAAATCGGTTGTTGTAAGAATGTCTATTGTAGAATGGGTTTTTGGTCTTTTTTCATCAAAATTCACTTATGCCCAATAAGTTTTCATTAATACCTTTTTACTCAAATAATTCTATATTTGTGTACCGACTTCCATTTTTTCCTAAATAAAAAAGAATTTTTTGGAGGTCGATTCCTTGGCCCAATAGAATTCCAAAAAAAAAAAAACTCACTGGCCAATTTGTTTTTGGATTAGATTCCTGTTGAAAAGTCAAAGTAATGGATATAATTAACGCCCTTCAAAATTACAAAAATAACAACAATGCCATCAATTAATTGAAATACATATTCTAAAAAATAATGTCATCATAATATACCTTTTTTTTTTTTTTTCATAAACACAAATTGTCAGATAGGTGCACTACACAAAGATAACATCTTCTTGATTAACGTACTCATTAACGGATGGTTCACAAGTACATTAAAATACATTTACTAATAATAGCTAAATTCAGTGTATCTCTGGAATAGATACATTAAGATGAGACGTCTGGATAGACAATTCTTCGATTAACTACGCAATTAACACCAAAATGAACATACATTTAAACAACTTCATCTACCCCATAGAAATACCTCTATAAATAACGTATCAAAAAATTAGAACAGAAGCATAGAAAATAATGGATTAGTCAAGGGAGCAAAGAACACAGAGTAACATATAAAAGCTCATAGGTTTCCTCAATAAAGCACACGCCAAACAAGATCGAATGTAAAAAGATATTGACCATCTAAAATCTTAACTGTACATGCCTAACAAACAATGAGACGAGTGGAAGGAAATGACGAAAAAAATTCAACATAAAGCTACAAAAGGGGAGGAAGAAGTCCAAAAACTCGAGGTAGAGTTGAAGGACTTCAAAAAATTATCTGTAATCCATATGTACTACAAACATCCTCACACATACTAAAATCGTTAAGAGCGACAACAAAAGTGACTGAATCAAACGTATACCTTGCAATCATAATTCCTTCTATCGCCTAAAAAACCAAAGAAGTGTTCAGATCGTCAAAACACATACAAATGAAAAACAATTATATAAACAGGTAACTAAAATTTTATCACAGGAGTTACGTATCCTCAGCAAAACTAAAAATTGAATATGAAAGGTAATCACGCTCACAAACATTCATGATTACACAAAAAAAAAATACATTAACAAAATAGGTACGCAATTAATATATGTGTTTACATATTTACATGACATATCAAATACAACAAATAACATAAACGCTCATTTAAGTACATTATACAAATATATACAGCCACGAGATAGACACATTAGTATTTAATTGAGAATAATGTACATATACATTATTATAGGTACACAAGTACATAAAACCAAATATAATTCAAAATTACATAAATTATAACAACTATGTACCTAAACCTAATAACAAACACGTAAAATCTAACTATTTCAACCTAATGGTATATCTACCAAATCAACGCTTATGATAAACAATCGGTATATTCCAAATTACTTGGTTTACAAATTTAAAATTCAAAACTAATAGACAATATCACAAAATTCTTAATGACAAACACACAAAAATGAAATTAACTGTGATGGGTTAAGCCCAAATAGTCCAATTTATGTATTAAAGCCCAACCCCGGTTGAGGAGCCCAACCTCATCATGAACCCACCAAGTCCAAGACAGACCAAGGCCGGCTAGACTTCTTGCTTAGCACGTCACCAAGAGGAGAGTACGGTTGGACTTCTTGCTTAGCACGTCACCAAGAGGCCAAGGCCGGTTGGACTTCTTGCTTAGCACATCACCAAGAAGAGAGCACGAGAAGCTTATCAACGGTCCAATCTTTGACCACGTTTCCTTCAAGAGTTCCCCAAACTCTTGCTTCCGTTGAGGATAAGTCGTGATCTCCACCGAAGATAATCTCTAAGCTGCGATAAAGAAGCCTTGAGGATATGTTATGATCTCCACAAGAATGATCTCTTATCTACTATAAAATGGCTCTAATCTGAGAGAGAAGGGGACACATGCTCCATCAGAGACTTTCAGAAGACGAACCGACTACCGGAGATTATTGTTTTTCTCTGATTCTCCATTCCCCCTCTCAAAGCTTGTATCTCCGTTCTCCATACCTTTGAATCAATAAAATACCCGGCGACTGAAGCCATTGAAGAGTGGACGTAGGTCGAATTGACCGAACCACTATAAATTGTGTCTTCTCTAATTTTCTCATTGATTTCATTGCATTTATTATCTATACTTGACAGGTGGTGTGCAAAACCATTTTTGTGCATCATCAAACTGTATTTTAAGTTGAAATCATGTGATGATGATAAAATAGGTAATAAAAACACATTAATTACCCAACTCCTATAAGTTCGAGCTCACACAGGGACCGCGGCATGCATAATTTTTTAAAAACATGGAGGACTTTTTTATATATTAAAAATCTGATAGTACAAAATTAGTTTACACACCAAAGGAGTACCATAACCTAATTAACTAAGTAAGGAACAACATAGAAGTAGATTGCTCTTTCACTAGCTAGGCCCATCTGAGTTGGACTAATAATTTGGACACTGACCCGTCCCGACAGGTTGATCAGCCCCATGGCCGGTCACGGGCAGTTGGGCTCATCAGGAGGCAAGATACGATCCTGTGATCCATGATGGCAGGACTGCCCATAACAAAACACACTGGTAAATTTCAGAGTCCAATTCATTGATTAATTGTTGATCATTTAAATGACTATACTACCCTCAAACATCTGAAAAATGGCTGATGATATCAGAAAATCCAATAATCTTATCCTCTACAGTTCCAAACTGTCAACACCTCTGATTCTCTTTCCCACCCAAATAAAACTAACAGAAAGAAATAGCAAAGAAAAAACAGAAAAAAAATAAAAAATGGCGACAGCCTTCCTCTCAAATGCAAACGTCTCTCTCTCTTCCCCCTCGTCCTCCTCCTCCTCCTCATCTTCTTCTTCTTCATCTGCACTAGCAACATTAACTTCAGTTTCTGCTCAAAAACATAATGTAAGGAGACAGTTAACTCTGTGCAAAGCAAAAGTGATTGACTTGTCTCTCTCTTCTCCATGTCTCACCAAGAGAAACCTTTCCCTTGGCCTCACCACCACCTTTCTATTTTCCTTAGCTGGTAAAGAGTATTTTGATGCCAATGCTGCGATTCTTGAGGCTGATGATGATGAAGAGCTTTTGGAAAAGGTGAAGCAGGACAGAAAGAAGAGGCTTGAAAGACAAGGCGTTTTTAACTCATCCAACAAAGAGAAGGGTAGGCTTTTTTCTATTATATATTTATTTGAATGAAATCTTATATTTTTCAAAAAAAACTTTAGTCTTTTTTTGTTTTTTTTTTTTTTTGTTTATAGCTGAATTGAATCAATTTTCTCATTTATATGATTGTTTGATAGAATGACTGATGATAATTAGATTTGTACTTGTGGACCTCATGATATTATTTATCTTGACTGTGTTATTATTTATGAATTAATGTGGCTGTAATTTGTTTAGACTGCATCTTCAAGGCTATCGTGGCTCTCAAATTATTATGGTTTAAGTGAACTCTTGCCCATTTCCATGTAGTAAATGTATCTACAATCTGTGATGGTTCTTAATATAAATTAAATTAATTTCTATATATTGCAGGAAAATTAACTGGGTGATTGTTGGCCTTGTCTCTGTTTTTTAAGCTCATTTACAAAACATTTCCGAATATTCACAATTGAGGTGTCGAAATGGAACTTTAAATTGCGTGTCGGCAAGTGGGTGACTCGTATGCACTATGCTCAAAAGTCCCATGGCCAGTGGGTAGAGAGGAGTGGAGCATGAGCGTAGTGGGTGGCTTATATTGGGGAATCCAATGTATCTCTGACATATGAGTTTTACCATGATTGGGTATATCACTTGTGGGAACTTACCTGGTGAAACCGCCGGCCTCTCCTGTGAACGTAGATAGAATTTTACCGAACCATGTAAATTCTCGTGTTCATCGTTCTTGATTTTCTCTCTTGTTTGATTGTTTGCCGCACTGCATGTTCACAATATTGTGCCACCCGAAAAATCAAACAGTGTAATAATTCATGATCTGAGTTGCATTCTTGTCCATCCCAACATAAATTGCTCACTCATCCAGCCATGGCAGCGTTTCGTATACATGCCTTTTTAATTACTTAATACTCAAAATAGGGAGTAAAATTTTCAAATTTGTAGTTCTGTTGCTCCTAATTGATTTTCTATGTTGGGGAATAGAGAAATTCATTGCAGTTTGATGAGTTAATGAGTGTTGATAATTAGTTTCCTGAAATCTGCTCGGATTTTATTTTCATGTAGTTTCCTCATGAGTTTACTAAACCTGCTATGATGAAACTAATTGTTTGCAGCATATTTGCAAGATCTTGTTTACAAGCTTAGCAAAGTAGGCCAAGCAATAGAAAACAATGATCTCTCTACAGCAAGTTCTGTTCTTGGTCAAAACACTGAAACAGATTGGGTCCAAAAAGCAAATGCAGCCTTCAACAAGGTCTTTTTTTGTTTCAACAAGATCTTCTGATTAATGATAATATGACATATTTTTTCAATATATTGTTTATATGGTGGCTTAATTATCTTGACACAGTGTGTTTGTGTACCTTTGCAACAGTTGAGCTCTAGCCCTGAGGAGAAGTCTGAGGTGGATGCATTCAATTCCTCAATGGCTTCTTTGATATCATCAGGTAAGGGGCACTGCATGGCCTGGCTTGGCTCGAATAAATTCTTGTGTACAAATAATTATAATTTTTGTCATGAAACAACCCTAATCCAAAATATTAACAACCCAAACCCTATCCTTAAACAACTTCAGACATGTACACTTCTCTCTCCCTCTCTTCTCTAATGGAGTTTTTGAAAAATCTGTATTTCTAGGATTTGATTTTTGTTGTTTATACAAAATTTGGCGGATTTTGACTGAGAAATTGATTACAAAATGAAAGCGGCATCCCTTATTGATTGAGCTAACAGAGGGCATTGAACGGACCCTCCTTATTGGAATACACAAATGGGAGTGACTTGAATTGGAGCTTGCAGACCGTAGTATTCTGGTTGGGAGGAGCAGCTTGCCATACTCCAAGGTTTATTTTAGAAATTTTCATTGAGAAGTTGATCTCGGTTTTAGCTTTTGCCGAGTTGAGCTTAAGCAAGAACCTAAACTTGGTAGTCAAGCTCGGCCAATCATAGCCAAGTCGAGCTTGAGCATAAAGCTTGACAAGCTTGACTTGATTATAAAGCTTGACAAGCTCGACTTGATTAATACTACAAGTACACAATAAGGTAACAGTTGTGCAGGTGGTGTAAGAAGATTTAGGGCTTTACAATATATATGCCCATTATTGGTACATATCTCATCAACCAGGTGGAAATAATGAATAAGCAGGGAAAAAGTGTCTTTCATTTTTGTAAGACTAACACTTACTCTGCATTCTGCAGTTATTCGGAATGATATTGAAGCCTCTAAAATAGCCTTTGTGTCATCAGCAACTTCATTTGAGAAATGGATTGCCTTAACAGGGTTGGTTGGACAGCTTAAAGGGCTTTGAAGGCCATGAGTATCTGTTTTTCATTTTGTATTGGGAAATTGGTGGAGTTGAGTTGTATGAGAGGGAAATAGATGGCTTCCTTTTATTCCCAAGTTCAAACCATTTTGTTTGGTTTTCCTTCATTAGCATTGTTCATAGTATTTGGGCGGATTGAAATCAACTGATAAGGTTCTTTTGCCAGCTTGAGTTGTGTATCCATGGCTGACTTTGTTTGATCTTTAGTTGTAACTGAATCTCAGTTTAATTTCTTTTAATTTTTCATTTTTTGTAATCTTTAAAATGACTTGGTTGTTCTATAGTTCTGTACTCACAACTTAGATTTATCGCTGGCTCAATTTGTTTGAGCTTTTGTGGTAATCCAAACTCTGCAATTTCTTTTACACTTGAATGATCTAATTGTTAAATTGTAGCCCATAAAAAGAAAAATGTTCCAATTGTTGTGATAGTCAAGAACTTGGCTCCATATACAACAATTCTGTAAACTTTTGAAGTAATTATCAAGCAAACTCAAGGTACATAAATGGCATATCTAGCTATATAACTGACAACCTGGAACATCTACAAAGGACAATTTAGTACACGTGCCTCTCACTACTGTTGAATTTGAGGAAGGTAAAACGTAAGCATCTTTAGCTTTGTATGCGGAAAGATTGTTGCCATGATACCCAAGTTGTTTTCATTGGCGAATCCCACTTTTGCATCATCAGCCTCAATTCTAAAACTGCCATTATATACATGACAGCAGCAGGGGAGATGACCTAGCATTATTCAGTCATGAAAGTACTCACAGAATGGAATTCATATGGTATCGCAAAAAACTGTAATGAATGAATTCAGTATACTGCAGGGTTTCCTGAAAGGGAATTAAGGCATGTCAGGACCTCAGCACCTAGAGTGCTTATTTTTGGACGATACTATGTTCTTTCCCTCCATTTTGTCCACAAAACAGACATGTGGTAATGTGAAAATGGAAGTTCTCCAACAACCTTTTTATCTAGAAGGTAAGGCTACATCCAAACCAACTGTAATTTGCTGTGACACAAATACCAATCAATGCAGGGAAGAACAAAAGAAATTATGAAGAGTAACTTCATAGAAGCATTAACTGGACATATAACTACTTATTATGATATCACGAAACGAGTTTCACCACCATAATGTTACATAAGATCTCTGCAATATACTTGTCCCATCAATGCAGCAAATGACACAGTACTGAAGGCCTAATATGATGTAAGATAATAATGTTACAAGGATCTCTGCAAGCTACATGGTACATGTTCCTTGATGCAACAAAAACTACAACACTAAATGCCTAACCTACGATTTTACATACAGATGTTGCGTGAACAGTCTGAATTCTACCACCAACAACACTACACACTCATCCAAAAGGAACAAGCCTATGAAAGGTCAGGAGAAGGTATGATAGTGGCAGCATTGAGTTAATCAATGTGGTAACTTAAGGCTCGACCTCATTGATCTCGCCATGGCTGCTGTTCTAAGTCATTTCTCCTTCCACAACCTTACACGTGTTATTTTTAACCAGAATATTTCGTTGCTCGCTGCTATTATTCGCTGCACGACCCTTGTTTTCCTCTTTCTCCTCTCCTACCACTTTGGATTTCTTTTCCTCGGAAATACCATCATTTTTCTCCTGTTCCCCAGTACCATCCTCTTTCCCTGTTTTAACTGATGTTTGTTCCACCACTGCTTGAATTTTTGCATCCTCAGAACCATCTGCATTCTTTTCAGTTTCTTCAGCATTACCAGGCATTTTGACATCTTTTTCAAGCTTAGCTTCTTCCAAAGGAGCATCTGGTACTCTTTCAATGGTAACTTGAGTTTCATCTTGATTCTCCTTGACAACTTCCTTCTCAGTATCTTGGGTTTCCTCTTTTTTATCAAGTTGATTTACCTTCACATCATCCTTCTCAACATCCACAATTGCGTTCTCAGTTTTCTCTGCTTCTTGCATGTGGATTTCTTTCACCTCCTCAGTTTCTTCAGAGACAACGTTTTTTGAAGTTGACAATTTTCTGCTCTTTTTCTTCGGGGTTTCGCTTTGTGGCGGTGGAGTAAATTTTGCCTTCTCACTTATCCTCGCTGATCTCCTAGGGGTTTCACCTGTTCCCCAATCAAATTCAGATATCGCGGGACCACCAGGGTGTGCTTTTAGGTACTGTTCCAACTGTCTTCGGTTAGTGATCTCCTCCCCTGTTGGGGCAGTGAATATGATCTCATTCTTCTTTGGGGTCCCTCCTTTCTTGGGCATGAACTGCATAGGAACACAAATATGTTCAGTATTATACAACTTGAATTCAGGGGAATAAGGGGGAAAACATTAGGAGACATGCAAATAATTCTCTTGAAGTTGGATATTTCCAATGCAAAAGAGGAAAATAAAATGGTTCAGGACCGCAAAAACAGATGAGAATGGAAGATCCAATCTGGAAAAACCTTACAACTGAACAATCTTGAAAACCACATCATACAGAAAGGAGAACATACAAATTGAAGAACAAAAATAATTTTGCCTACTGGCCATAGATTTTGGAGCTACCAGGTATCACTCGAGATCAAACAAAACTAGAACATTTAATTATTCACCCAGTATTGAGGCCAGACTAGGATTGGGGATTGAGGATGAAGTCAACTTAGACAATTGTCATGATCAATTACTATCAGCTGGCAAAGACAATGATGGTGAATATATGGAACAAGGAACTAAAATTGATGCATAACCCAAACTGCATAATGTCATGGAAGGCATAGCATCTCTATGGTGATCAGATCATTGTCGGACTCCAAATTTTTGTATCAAACAAAATTGTAGCAGAACCTAAGAAGATGCACATGATATGAATCGTGGACAATCCACATGGGATCTCATATCATTGTTGATAAGGTATTTTCAGACATTTACATGTACAACCTTGATTAGGCCCACCATGAAGCGACCAGAATTAAACCCCAAGCTTAACAAAGTAGAAATAAGAGAAAAAAATAAAAGGAGACAGAAGTGCAAAGATGTGACTCATCAGAGCTTCCTGAAGAGATCTGGCAAGTGGCTCTTATCTTTCCTTTTCTTGCTCTGCTCTCTCTTGTCTAATCCTTGCTCATTCTTCTCTCTCTCTCTCTCTCTCATAAAATTTGGTGTCATCTTACCATATTGCGTAAGAATCACATCATGATTTCATACAGCGTTGTATCAGCCAAAACCACCAAGATCTTGGCAATATCGTCCAAGAGAATGCCGTCTCATCAAATCTGTATATCTCTTCAAAATCAGGTATTGGCATATCCATAAACACTACATCAACACAACTAATAGTGAGGTGCATCAACTGATACTGTGAGCCACACCAACATTATATTCCAGTAAACAACCATGAGGAAACGTAAGATTCTCCCTCACAGATTTCAGGGAATCCATGCCAGTAATTTGTATGCTCAAAGAAACGACCGGAGGCATTGAGTAGGCAGGCAAGCCCTAAAGCTAACTGGGTAGTACATTCTAATCAGTCCAGATTAGTTCTCTACTTCTCTTATTCCAATACTCACTGTAGACAGATAAATTCAATACCATATAGAAAGAGAAACAAAAATTTACGTCCCATCAGTCTTGAGATGGATGTAGCCTAGAACAGTTAAACAACTGAGAATGGTGGAGACTGGAGTTCCCAATGTGAAGTTTGAGTTAGGTGTCCCTAGGTACACAAATCCACATCCATTGAACAGCTTCAAAAGTAACCTTAAATCTTTAGCCTGACACAATTCAACCTTGTTTATAGTTATTAATGGGGACCACACTTGTACATTTTATGATCTTAGTACACATAAATCAATTCAGGACCCAGCCCATCTTGGTGAGATATTGTTTTTTCTACATTGTTTCTCTCTATTGTAGCTACCACGTGGTATTAAACCCAAGCTACTTGAGCTCAACTTGGGATTGGCTTGATTAGAGGATCATTTGAGATTGACTCATGGACAAATAAACCAAACTCAATCACATTTCCCAGCTTGTTCATACATGAGCTCGATCAAACTTGGCTCAGTGTGCCAAAAATTGCAATAAGTCTATATAAGAAACCAAGCTACTTGAGCTTGGCTCAGTTAAAGCACAGGAGAGATCGCCTCATCGAGTAATCAAGCAAGCTTGAACAGCATTAAGAGACTTGTTAAAAAATCAAGCCAACCTTGAACAACCCACTATTTGGCTCGATTCAACTCATCTGCACCTCTATCGTCTCCCCATTCTTTTCCCTTTTGTAGTTCCTCCTCTCTTCCTCTCCCACCAACCCAAGTATGAAACTCAATATCCACAAGACTTCCACCAGAGTCCAACTAGGAGTCTACACGCCTCACTGTGCAGTTTGCCAGTAGCATAGATGGATCTCACACGATCTGACTCACACAGGTATCTAGTTCATATATTCTCAATTTATAATAAAGCACAGAATACAGTACTTGTTTTTAAAACAGACTGATTTCTGCCGTATTATGCTCACAAAGCAATTCCAAAAGATAGAAAAAAAAAAAAGAAGAAAAAAATTGTCAACCAACTGAATGAGATGCTTTGTATAATCAATCCATGCAGTCATCATAAATAGTGCAATCAAAATCTCACCCGAGAATTTTTTTTTTTAAATTGTGAAAAAAGGTAAACAATGAGACTTTGGCACATGTGAGTAGTCAGCAAATGTCATCTAACAAGTGTCCAAGTAATTAACAGCCAAAAACGGGTTAAGCATTTAAATTAAATCTCCAAAACTGCAAGACAAAAAGATTATTATTCTTTATTTTTTTTTGGCCCGACAAAAAAGAATATTATTCAGATGCATTCAGAATGAATCAATACCCCACAGCCTACAACGTGATGTAACTATCAAGGAGTCCCCTGTTCCACAGCCTACAAACCCCAAATATTTCCATCCACAACCCACCTTTCCAGAGTAAACATATAAAAAACCTTCTTGTTAGTAACTTTCATTAAATGTACAGAGTTAATGTTGGTCAAAGTTAGAAATTGAAATTTGGTTACCACAAACCTAAAATTTGGTTACGACAAACCTAGAACATCCCAGAAAGCTGTGAACAAACAGAACCTCATGGAATTAACGTAAATTCAAACCAAAAAGCATAGTTCTACATTACTCCACATAATTAACGTAAATTCAAACCCAGAAGCATAATTCTAAACTACAATTTACCAGGATTAGAAAATATGACCACAAGCCCTAGCTTCAAAACCACCACCACTACAATAAATTCTACCACAGAAGCCCATTGAAACACCTAGTCAACATAATTAGACATAACCCAGAACCCAATTTTATTCGTCAAGTAACCCAGAACTCAATTGACACCATTAAACAACAATAAAAGCACAGAGGTTACAAAATTCAACTGTATAATCATATAAGCCCTAGCTTCAACACCTCCACTGCTCCATCAAATTATCTCAGAATCGCAAAATTCCACAGGATTACACAAGACCCAGATCTTAATTCAAAAAAACAACAACAACAACAACTAAACAAAAAAAAAACTCCATAAGTATCAAAAGATTAAAACTTTAAAGAAAAAAAGTTATATGCATGTATAGAGAGAGAAAGAGAAAGAGGGAGAGAGACCTTTTTCTTCCAAGCAGGAGGAGCAGGGAGTTCCAAGGAGACAACTTCATCCTTCTCGACCGAGCTCGCCATTTCCACCCTACCAAAATTCAAACCCAAAAGTTAAACAACTATACACTGTAAGAAGCCCAACCAACTATTGACTATATATATATATATATATATATATATATATATATATATATATATATATATATTTATATCCGCACAGCAAGAAAACAAATATATAGTGGATAAACCCCCCCTCTCTCTTTCTCTCTCTCTCTAGAACTACAGAAATTATATTATCTCTCTCGACCTTTTGTTGGAGAGGCTCAAATATGACAAAAACAATGAGACACAAACCGTGTTGAATCAGAGATTTGTTGTGAGCTTTTTCAGTTCTCGGTTTCTGAACCATTTTTTTATTTCTTAATTTTAAGGAAAAAATATGCTTGGCAACCTAAAATATGTAAGAATTTTGACTTTATACTCTTAAGTATTACTTTTCTCGTATTGTATTATCAATATATGAAAAGTATTAAAATGTAACATTTTCGTTTACTTTCGGTGCTTCTTTCATTAAAAAAACACTATTATCGTTAATAAAATGAACAACAAAAGCTAAAAGAAATGTCACATTACAATATTTTTAATACAATGAAAGTATAATATGAAAAATTTAATCTTTAATGATACAAATAAAAATTCTTAAAATTTTAAGATGTAAAATGAAATTCACCCTAATTTTAACTCTGTTTACCGGTGGGGCAGACACGCTATAGATAAGTCAACCATTGTTAGTTGGGGTGTAGGAGCATTAAGGTAAATTGGACTTGCTTCATTGTCATGGCTGTTATTCATAGTTTGGTCACAATTTTAGCACCTTTATGGTTATGGTTTGCGGTTATGATTATAATTCCTGTCACGTGATTGGGGATGATAACTTCAGACACTAATTTAATGCGATATGAACTAAAAATTAGTTGACTCAAAAAATACTAAAAAAAAAATATAAAACATATAAATTAAACTAATGTTAAATATATCGTCAAGTGGGATAGTTCAATAGAGTACCGACTGAATTTCTGTTAAAGGTTCGAATCTTAAAGTCCACGTTAGAGTTTGATGGTTAACCGCTATACAACCTAATTAAGTTTGTTCCCGAGAGGTGTAATGAACGCGGTCAGAAGCCTCATGATCCCACCAGTAAAAACTTATCAAAATAGTCTCATTGACATAACAAATTCAATAATAAAAAAAATATAAATTGAGAAGGTCTCCCAGTTCTTCGATAGTACAATGAGGTTCATTTAGTTGTCTTCCATGAGATTCTAGATATTTTTCACTCTATGACATGACACATTTTGCTCTCCAAAGACAACGCTCTTCTTAAGGTGTTGAAAATTCAAACTAACTTAGAGAATAATTGGCGCTATTTTTGCCTACTTATTAAGCATATTTTTCCCAAGTTATTAGTTGGAACTGATTATTAGTGGGCGAGAATCTCACATGCTTGCCAATATAAACTGAAGGGTTGTTGTGAAAGGAGATCCATCCAATATATTCTCTTTATATTCCTTCTTCGTGGATCACATCTTATGAATACAAGTAGAACTCATTGTTCATAAGTAGCCCCTCATTTATTAATGGTGACTAATAGATTGCTAAAAAGAAATTTGATTTGCATTTCACATATCTGGAGTTACTTATCAAGGCATGATGAAAAGTCAAACATTAGGCATAGGTTTTATTGTAAATAGCATAGGCATACACTTTCCTGGGCCTGGATAGCGATTATGGATTATGGGCTGGACTTCGGCAAAGTTGGGTTTAACGCGTATTTTGGGTAAGTAAACAGTGTATTGATATCCAAAGAAAATTTACAAGAGCATCACTTGTCCGCCTCCGCCTAAATCTTGCAAGACAAGTTTCATTCACATACAAAAAACAGAGAAAATCTGAGGATTGGTTGTTACATTCAGTATCCTCGGAAGATTTTAACAAAAACATTCTATGTAATCAGCATAGAATCTACATCATAAACAAAAAGAGAACTGGGTAGCTGCCATGAGTGAGCAAGTCTTCTATTCTCTATAATTGCCTTAATTTTCAGAGACATTAATCTATTTTTGACTGCATTGATGATTACTTGTTTGACTGTCATAGGATCCTTTTGTCGATTCTTGAATATCTTTTGGTTTATCTCATTCCATATCATATATAGTGTTGCTACAAGACAAAGCTTCTTGATCACAGTGGCAAGGTTCTTCCCCATCCAATTGTTGGCTGACTAAATAATAAAATCTTGCCAAGATATCTGCTGCCAAGGCTGGTGGCACTTCTCTAGTACATGTTTCCAAATCCTTTTTGAGTAGGTGCAATCAAAGAATAAATGATAGTGTGTTTCAGGAGCTACCCTACACAAGACACAAATTAAATCCACACTTTTGCATGTAGCTATGAATGCGACCCTTGGTTGAAAGTCTGCATCTAAAGGCAAGCCAAAGTATGAAGATCATCTTTGGTATACATTGACTAAAGCATAGAAGCTTGTGCTAGGGAACTAAAGGTTGTTTATACCTTAATTCCTCTAGGGTAAAAGAAGAGGAGAAGGAACCATTAGGGGTTAGCAACCATTTAACTACATCCTTCATTTTAGGTCTAGGAGAATAGGTGGGCATGGATACCTCTATTTGCAATAACTCTATTGTTTCTAGCATTGGCACTAGGCCATCTCTATTGATTGCCATGTATAATATGACATACTTAAGCATTCTTGTTAAGGCTAGAATCATACATAACTCTAGGAGTCCATCTAAGCATTAATGGTTCTGCAGCATGCCAATTATCAAACCATAGTGATGTTTCTCTCCCATCACCAATAATATGGAACAAGAATTGTCTAGCAAAATCCCTTATCTTCGGTAGTTTTCTCCAATTTCATGAACAAATTTGTGGCAATTCGACAATTCAGATGCTTCTTTCTTTCAAATAATAATCCCTCACCCATTTATACCAAATGTTGCTTTCATTAGAGATTAAGTGCCAAAGGTGTCTAAGCATTAATGCTCAATTCCAAGCCTTTAGATCCTTAACTCCCAATCCACCTTCTTGTTTTGGTAGGCACATTTCCTTCCATGATACTTTAGCTCCAACTGTTCTAAGCTCAGCTCCTGTCCGAAGGAAAGCTCTTAGTTTTTGCTCAACATTGTTAAGAACTCTCTTGGGTAGCATCAAGTGACAAGACCGAAAAATTTGAATATTGGAGAGGATTTAAATGGATGAGTTGTAACCTTCCTACAAAAGAAAGGAATCTATTAGCCCATTATCTTATTCTTGCCTTTACTGTTTCCACCAAAATAACACAATCATTGGCCCTTAGCTTGTGGTGATGATAGGGATACCTAGGTGCCTAATTGGTATGGTGCTTCATGATGTACAAATTGATTTTATGCACCGCCTGTCGAGTAATTAATGATTAATGTGGTAATTAAGTAAAAAGAGAGTAACGTAAGCAAGACAAAGATGTATAGTGGTTCGGTCAACGTGATCTACTCCACTATGAAGGGCTAGGATGAATTGATGTTTTATTACTTCAAGGAGTGTAAGGAGAGCAATAGAGGTACAAGTTATGAGAGAGAGATGAAAGTGATAGCAGATGTGTTTGATGTCCCCCAAGTATTGGCAGGACTTTCAATTTATAGTGTCTCTTAACAGATTAAGACATTTTTTCAATAACTAAGTGGCTAATTTGGTGGAGTTGGCGTTATCTTCTCAATGGTTGAGGTGGTTACGAAGCTCCCCTTAAGATCAAGTCAAAGGATAACGTGGTTGATTTTTTTCAAGGCACTGTGGATAAGGCTCTTGGGATGAGGCCGCCTACTCCTTGGTGATGTAGCTCCTGAAACCCTGACGAGTCTGATTGGTCATAGACCTCTTTTGGGCTGGACCTATTGGATTTCATCTAGTTGGGCTATTTATTTAATTTGGGTTCATAACCTAAATTGGGCTCTTGGGCCTGGCCCATCATTTGCCCCCAATGCCCTAAGTCCAATGAAACTTGGAGAAGAGGGTATTTAGTTAAACTTGGATTCTGGTTGACGGAGACCCCGCCTGATTCCTTTTTCTTCTTGATATTATTAGTCCTCATAGGACACTCCTAATTACGAAAACTGCACTGCATGCCATCATTGGTTAGGATTTAAAACCCTTGGTTATAAATAGGAGTCTTTTCCTTGACTTCCATTTCATATGATTCCGAGAGAGAGCTCCTTTGTGAAATTATCAAGAATAAAGGCAAGGGTGAGGTTCTTGAGTGGAGTGTTCAAAGGTCAATGTCAAGTGAAGGAGAAGAGATGCGAAGGTCCATCGGTATCCATGGCAATTGAGCAATCGGCGCTGAGGTGGGTGATTAGAAGGTCGTCAACGTGGTGGTAACTGAAGTAGGATGCATTGGTGAGGTGGAGGCCCCAGTCAATGAAGGCAAGGGGCCATGGGCGTTGCCTGACGAGGCCACCCAAGCCGCCTAAGGTGGGCGAGGGCGCCATGGGCAAAACGCTATGGGCGCCACTGGCCACTGACCATTAGGGCGAGGGAGGCGTTGGCGAAGGTGGTTGAGGACACCATAGGCAAAGCGCCATGGGCGCCGTTGAGGGGAAGACGCCATGGGCACTGCTGGCCACTAACCATGGAGGCGAGGGAGGCGTTGGCTAAGGTGGAGCCCAAGCTTGGGATGATGGGCACGCCACATCAAGCACAGACAACACGCTAAGGATAGCGCCCCTAGGCACCAAGTGTGAACGGGCGAGCACGCCAGATGCTGGACATGGTTTGTCAGCGTCGGGCTCGGCTGGGTCATCGTTGCTGGGTAAGCCAATTATGATGGAAGTGTACACCGGGCATGGACCTTCGCGAGTTTAAGAGGAGGGTTTGTCGGGGAGCACTGGTACTTTCGGTGGCGACGATGCCAATCAAGTTGTGGCTGATATGGTTCTTTCAAGTGGAACTCCACGGAGTCAGGTCCCTTAAGGCTCTCCTATTGGTGGCCCAGGCAATGTTTCTCTTTGCCCTCGCCACAGCAAAATACCAAGGAAAGGTAACTCTTGATGATAATGGATCCAAAATAAGTTCAATTTCCAGTATTCTTAGTACTAATGCTAATATTTTGTGGATTGTGTCCACTTATAATATTCTCCCAATAGTACTGTGTCGTCGAGCTGAAATGGGTGAGCTTGCTTGTGATGACTCATATGGAGACATTGTTTTTTATGAGGAGGTGCTTGAGGCTGGGTTGAGGTTTCCAATGCCTTCTTTTATTTGTCGCATTCTCCATTGCTTTTCACTTATGCTAGGATAGTTGGCGCCCAACAGTTATAGAGTTTTGTTGGGATTTCTGGCATTATGGAGAAAAGTGCATCATAAGGATGCTTCTCTTGAAGAGTTTTGTGCGGCTTATACTTTGAGTGAGACTCTTGCTCTCAATTGGGGGCTGGTACTACTTCACTCTAAGGGGAGGTAATTGATTACTAGATTGCATTCTAATTGCCATAGCTGAAATGCTCACTTTATGTTTGTTGGCAGAGAGTGGGATTCAGAGATTGACAAGGCTTTGGTACCAACAAGGTGGGATACTCCCAAGAGGATTGGTTTGCCTGCTATTTACTCTTTTTCCTTTGCCTTTTTTGGAGTGTGTACTCATAACATTTCTTCTAGGCTCCCGGGTGCTCTCAAAGGACCAATAATGGAAATTACAAGCAGTGAAGGCTCACCCTATGAAGAAATTTGGGACACTTATGCTCAAAGAGAGTGGAGCTAAAGAATTTCCTACTGGAAGTGCTAGGGTTGGTGCACCCTCTTCGACGCCTGGTAGTGTTTCCTTTAAAAGAAATGGTATGCTAATTCCCTTGGATTTTATTTCTTTACTTAGTTTTGCTTCAGGACAACACTTTATTCCTCTACAATGGATAGGATAGTGGTGGAGTCCCTTTATTCCACTAGGGCTACTCCTCCTCCTAAGGTAGCGAGGGTGATCAATGCTTTGGCGAGCCCCTCTCAGGTGACGCCTCCTGTTGCATCACCCCAATTAGTGACTCATTCAGATGTGACCACCACTCCAGAGACTTCCCAGGGGACCCATATCTCCTGCCCCCCATTCATTGACTCCTCTTGTGGAGACTTCTACAGCGATAGCCACTCAGACTGTCTCTATGCTGGGCAGATTGTCAATAAGCGACTTGGGAGATTTGTGTTTTCAGCAGACATCAATCAAGTTGGTGTTTAGGGCACTGAGGGCATCATCGATACTGTTTTGGAAGGTCTGGCCCAAGTAAGGGTCTGTTTCCTCTCTTGCTCTTGTCCCTCTCTTGGATACTGACATTCCTTTATCTTCCTTAGGTTTCAGCTGCATCTATGCACCTTTTTTTTAGGGTTGTCTAGTTTAGCCAACTAAGCTCAATTGTTGGGGGGGGGGGGGGGAGAGGCTTCCTTATGAAGCTGTAAAAAGGGAGCTTCTTACTGATCAAGGGAGGATTTCTGAGCTTAAAGCTAATGGTAAGGCTTCTCAGGCTGAGCTTGTGGCAACCTGTGAAAGGGTCGCCCTCAGAGAGGTTGTTGCTTGCACGAGGGCCGAAGCAGAGCTTGTGGTGACCCATGAGATGGTCGCTAAGATTGAAGTAGATGGTGAGGCTGCTTGCTTGGGAGCGGAAGCAGAGTTGAAGGCAACTCGTGAAAGAGTTTTTTGGGCTGAGGCGGATCTGCGATTGGCTCATGAGAGGGCCACCAAGGCTGAGGTTGATTTTAGAGAATGGCCTTGTAGATGCCTTTTATTGATAGTTACGAGGAGCTTCAAGAAAAGATTTCTACTACTTTCCCAGATATTAACTTTTCAGGCTTTGTACTTTATGAGACGCCTGATGATGTTGATAGTGATGATAGTGACTCTAACGATGCAGAGGACGAGGACGAGGAAGATCGTGGCCGTGAGAGTAGTTAGAGTGCTGGGGACTTTTAACTTTTTTTTAGAAAGGAAGTGTACAACCATTATTGATATCGCGTATCTTTTTGTAATAATTATAGTGGTATCAGAGCCATCGTTGATATTGCGTATAGATTGAATTTTGCCATGTTATCCAAATAAAACGAGTAGATGTATACCATGAATGATTGGTAGAATGTAGAATTGTACTAATCCCTGTTTTGCAATATTCTTGTCCTGCTATTATGGTCACATAATTTTTATTAGTCGTTTTATGTGGTTGGATCCCATGATGATTTATTCGTGGTTAATATTATAACAAATGATTTATATGATGATTTATTCGTATCTTTTCTGTAATAATTATAGTGGTATATGAACTCCCTCGTGGAGACATAAGGCCATATATAATGTTTTTTGTTGTAAGGTTATTAAGGAAGATGACTGTTTTAGAAACATTTTTTGTGACAGAAACCCTAGTATGCAATTTAGAAAATTGTTTAGGTTTCGGGGGCGCTAACCCCGAGCCCCTGCCACCTAACCAGATATGTGGATCCCCGTGACCTGAACGGGCCGGTCAATCCCTGAAATTTAGTCGAAGCGCAACATTGATGTAGCTAAATTTATCTCAGATTGCTAGAGTCCTTATTGGATTGAAATTGAAGACATGACCATAATAGCTAGGAGTCTTTATCTTATTCAGTCTCATTGTTTATGTTAATCTTTGTGCTTTATTCATGTTCTTATTATGTGGGTAGTTAACTTGTATAATAGTACCTCGATATATGGACAACATGGATAATTGATCAACCTTAGATTTTTTTTTTTTTTTTTGTCATGGATTAATATTTAATTATATTATTTTAAAATAAGGAAGTTCAAAGTATGTATGTGTAATTAGAAAATAAAATTGAATCCTCTATTTTTTTAAAAAAAATAGTTGTAAGGATTTGAAATTTTATTTATTATACATACTACACATAAAGATGGGGTAAGCCAGATATCTTTATAATGACAAATATCCTTATTTTAAGCCAATACAAATTAAATATGGTTTTGAAAACCCTCAATAAATATTGAATAACTAAGTGGGAGAGAGAATTTATATTGTATAAATCTCATGGTCTCCATTACTGGTTTGTAGGTGATATAATTAGTTTGTGTTGGCTTTAATGCCTTCCTCTCTATCAGATGAAATTAATTACAGAATCATTAGTACAAACTTCCTATAGGGATAATATTGGGTAGTTTCTAGTATGAGTTCACTTCACCATTTGAAAAGAGTTCACTACGAAACTATTGACACAAAGTTAAATAATGGTATATAATTAGCAATAAATAATATTATCATCTCTATCTGAGTCACTGCTGTTATTTATAAGACTAAAGCTAAACCAACTATTTAATTTTACTTTTCATGGTATAGTGGCTAGATAGTAAAATTAATAGGCAATGACTTGTCTGGAAAAATGAGGGATAATATACGTCCTCCCCTATTGAGGCATGTTATTCCCGGTGTTTCAGGTTGCTAGTGAATTCATTTAAATATTGGTAGAGCGAACCAAAGCTTAAATTTGAATTCAATGTTTTATTTTACTATATATATATATTTAAATTATGTGATTTTCAGGTTTTAAAATGGGTGGTTCTTTCAAACCTCTTTCTGTTATACTTAAAGAACACAAACTAGATGTATCAAACTATATACAATAGAAAAGAAATTGAAATATTGTGTTGATTGCTAAGGAGTACAAATTTGTGCTCAGTGAACTCTATCTAGATGAACCTGATGATGGGACAACCGAAGAGGATGTCCTGGATTATCGAAGATGGATAAAAGCTGATGAGAAGGCTCGGTGTTACATTCTGGCATCTGTGTTAGATATGTTGCAACATCAACATGAGTCTATGGCCACTGCCCATGACATGATTGTGAGCCTCAAAAATATGTTTAGGTATCAAAGTCATGCAGCTAGGCAAGTGGCGATGAGGGAACTAATGAACACAAATATGGCTGAAGGGACTCCAATAAGGGATTATTGTCTGAAGATGATGAGTCTCATTAATGAGCTGGAAATCCTAAGAGCTGAGATTGACGGAGAAACTCAAGTTGATATCATACTCCAGTCACTACTTGAGTCTTTTAAGTAGTTTCGCCTGAATTACAATATGAATAAGTGTTCTTATACATTGGCAAAACTTCTTAAGGAACTCCAAGCAGCTGAGGGTCTACTTCAGAAGTAGGATCGCGTTTATGTGATTGAGAAATGTTATAATTCTAAGCCACAAGGCAAGAAGAAAAATAAAAAGGCTCAAAATCAGGTTAAGGCGCCTCAAGCTACAGTGAAAAAGCCTAAGGGCAAGTGTTTTCATTGCAAACAATCAGGGCACTGGAAGAAGTGGTGTCCGGCCCATCTTTCTAAGATGGACAATCTAGGTAAATCTCATTTACTAGTTGTTGAATCAAATTTAGCGGTGTCATCTATCAGTACCTAGTGTGTAGATACAAGAGCCACTAATCATGTCTGCAAATACTTTGAGGAGTTTCAGGAAACCAGACAACTTAGTGATGGGGAGATTTATCTTCACATGGGCAATGCTACGAAAGTGGCAACAGTTGCAGTAGGAGATTTTCATTTATATTTTGGTGGAGATATGATTTTAATTTTGAGAGATTGTCTTTATGCACTAGATATTAGAAGGAACTTAGTCTCGATTTCTAAATTAGTTAGAGATGGATATAATGTTTATTTTAATGACTCTGTAGTTATTAAGCATAATAAGCATTTTATCTGTTC